CAGTGTTTTGACCACACTGTTTATACCTACCGCAGGCCAGTGGTGGAGAAATACACAAGTCATGTAGTGGCATGAAGGATATTACAATGAAATATTATTCCAATAAACGCAATAAAGTACCAATTGTCTATCAAAACAGATGTCACATTGGGCTTAATGTGTTCAAATGTGAAGAGAATGCTATATGCAAGCATTATAGTTTCTTATTTGTGATAAGTTAAGGCAGTGGATGGGTCATTAATCTGCATTATTTCCAGATAGGTTTAGTGTTTAAATAATAGCATCCCATTCAGACAGTGATGCTGAGGATGGACATGTCCACATTCAAGCTGTTCATGCAGCTTAAAGCGCTCCAGCTTTCACAGCAGATTTAGTTCACAAACACTACTGACCTACATATGATTCATGTCAAATAGCAAATCCCAAAATTCTGCATTAGTAACTTACTTTACACGTCATCAGTTGCGCAATCTCTCAAGCTCGGAGGATCTGCAGTTTGTGGAACAAATTGCATTTGAGAATGAATTTGAGATTTGAGTGGATCACTTAAATCAGTGAATCTTTAACTGGAGACAAATTTAGACTAGAACATTTGAATCAGTGAGTCTTTAATTTGAGATTCACTCTGAATGGATCTTTTGAATCAGTGAGTCTGACAGGATCATTTGAATCAGTGACTCTTTAACTTGAGACTCACTCGGACTGGATCATTTGATTCAGTGAGTCTTTAACTGGAGAATCACTCCGACTGAATCATTTGAATCAGTAAGTCTTTAACTGGAGAATCACTCAGCATAAATCATTTGAATCATAGAGTCCTTAACTATTGACTCACTCGGACTGGATCAGTTGAATCAGTGAGTCTATAACTGGAGAATCACTCAGACTAAATCGTTTCAATCATAGAGTCTTTAACTATAGACTCAATCGGACTGGATAATTTGAATCAGTGATTCTTTAACTGGAGAATCACTCCAACTGAATCATTTGAATGAGCGAGTCTTAAACTGGAGAATCACTCAGACTGAATCATTTGAATCAGTGAGTCTTTAACTGGAGAATCACTCAGCATAAATCTTTGCATCAGTGAGTCTTTAACTAGACATTCGCTCTGACTGGAGATTTTGAATCAGTGAGCCTTTAACTGGAGAATCACTCAGACTGAATCATTTGAATCATAGAGTCTTTAACTATAGACTCACTCGGACTGGATCAGTTGAATCAGTGAGTCTTTAACTGGAGAATCACTCAGACTGAATCAATTGAATCAGTGAGTCTTTAACTGGAGAATCACTCAGACTAAATAATTTGAATCAGTGAGTCTTTAACTAGAGACTCGCTATGACTGGATCCTTTGAATCAGTGAGTCTTTAACAGGAGAATCACTCAGACAGAATCATTTGAATCATAGAGTCTTTAACTATAGACTCACTGGGACTGGATCATTTGAATCAGTGAGTCTTTAACTGGAGAATAACTCTGACTGAATCATTTGAATCAGCGAGTCTTTAACTGGAGAATCACTCAGACTAAATTACTTGAATCAGTGAGTCTTTAACTAGAGACTCGCTATGACTGGATCTTTTGAATCAGAGTCTTTAACTGCAGAAACACTTAGACTGAATCATTTGAATCAGTGAATTATTAACTGTATACTTGATCTGAATGGATCATGTGAATCAGTGAATCTTTAACCGGAGACTTGGCCTAACTGAATCGTTTGATTCAGTGAATCATTAACTGTATACCTGATCTAAATAGATCATGTGGATCTCTAACTTGAGACTTGTCCTGACTGAATCATTTGAATCAGTGAATCATTAACTGTATACTGAATGGATCATGTGAATCAGTGAATCATTAACCGGAGACTTGGCCTAACTGAATCATTTGAATCAGTGAATCATTAACTGTATACTGAATGGATCATGTGAATCAGTGAATCTTTAACCGGAGACTTGGCCTAACTGAATCGTTTGAATCAGTGAATCATTAACTGTATACTGAATGGATCATGTGAATCAGTGAATCTTTAACCGGAGACTTGGCCTAACTGAATCATTTGAATCAGTGAATCATTAACTGTATACTGAATGGATCATGTGAATCAGTGAATCTTTAACCGGAGACTTGGCCTAACTGAATCATTTGAATCAGTGAATCATTAACTGTATACCTGATCTAAATAGATCATGTGGATCTCTAACTTGAGACTTGTCCTGACTGAATCATTTGAATCAGTGAATCATTAACTGTATACTGAATGGATCATGTGAATCAGTGAATCTTTAACCGGAGACTTGGCCTAACTGAATCGTTTGAATCAGTGAATCATTAACTGTATACTGAATGGATCATGTGAATCAGTGAATCTTTAACCGGAGACTTGGCCTAACTGAATCATTTGAATCAGTGAATCATTAACTGTATACTGAATGGATCATGTGAATCAGTGAATCTTTAACCGGAGACTTGGCCTAACTGAATCGTTTGAATCAGTGAATCATTATCCATGAATGATGATGAACAACAGAATGCACAGACTGTATCTTGTAAAACCAAAGCATCATCGAACAACCACAGAACGAACAAGAAAAGCCCATGTTTGATAAAAACCCACCGACACACACCAGCAACCACGAACCGAAACCCTGGAGATATTGCGGTGTGTGTTTTAATATCTTGTCTCCAGCAACATTAGGATCTTTCCCTCGCACGTCCTCAGTACGAGCTGAACTGTGACGCTCAGGAGACGTTTGGGTTTGCTGGGTTAATGTTAATGGGAGCAGACAGCACAGCACAATTTTACATAATAGAGTGAGCAGAAGCGTCCATTAGACCAGCATCTCGCTGCAGTTATTTACATCCACTGGGATCAAACACAATGTTCTCCATTAATATTTCATTAGTTCACTGATAATCACAGCAGAGCCGAGAGGACATTAGCTGAAACCGTGCTTTATTAGCGCGTCACTGAGGAGGCATAACCAGCTAATGACTTCAACAACTATAAATGACAAACAGAGGCCGTCCTATGAGGAGCACGCTCTTATTATGTGTGAACATGACCCATTATCTGAAAGCAGAAATGCATCTTTGTGACAGGAATATATACACTGTTTTTGTAAATTACACAGTATTTGACGCTATTATGAACTGTATTTTAACTGTATTAGGAAAGTTATGCGGTATGTTACCGTATTTTTAAGTTACATTGTGAACTTCGCTGTATATTTTACAGTAAATATATACAATAGTGTAAATACATACACAGCAAGATAAATGGTGCTGTAAATGTAAACAAGTATTTTTGCTGTAATTGATTTACAGTAAGTTACTACAGTTTTGGTAAATTACACAGTATTTAATTGTAATCTAAGCTGTAATATTAGGACAGTTATGTGGTGTTACTGTATTTTAAAGTGAAATTTATTATATATTTTACAGTATAGTGTAAATACACACACAGCATGATAAATGGTGCTGTAAACATGGTATTTTAGCGGGAATTGGTTTACAGTAAGTTACTGGCAAACTGCTGCACTACAACTACAATTTTAGTAAATTACACAGTATTTACCTGTAATATGAACTGTTTTAACCGTAATAGGACAGTTATGCTGTATGTTACTGTATTTTAATCTTGCATTGTGAAAATAAATGCATATTATTTATATTATTATTTATAATTATATTTATTTCTATTTCTATTTATTTTTATTTTATTTATAATTATATTTTTTTACATTTATTTATATTTATATTTAAATACATTTTTATTTTTATTTTGTTTATAATTATATTTATTTACATTTATTTATATTTATGTTTATTATCTATATTTATACTTATTTATATTTATATTTATTTATATATTTATATTTATTTTTATTTTTTATTTTTTTATTTATTTATCTTTATTTTTATATTTATTTATATTTTTACTGACATATTTAATTACTTTTTTTCTTCTTCCTTTTTTTTACTGTTTTATACATATATCTATAATATCATTTAACCTGCTCTCTTAAGTTACTATCATTGTTAGTTTCACTCTTTTTTTGTAGTTTCAAATATGAAGCGTCAATAAAAATAAATAAATAAATAAATGAATAAATAAATAAATAAATAAATAAATAAATAAATAAATAAATAAATAAATAAATAAATAAAGTAAAAAAGCACATCTGTCAAAGCTTATGGCTAAAATACATAAACATATCTAAAGGTGAATAACACTTTTCGTGAGACCTCACTGTCTGACTTTTTAATAAAAACATTTAAGCAAATGCTTTAACAGATCATTGTAGACCACCAAAATATCAGTATCATCTCCACAAAAAGTCCAAGCATTGCACTGTTTTAAAAACTCTCCAAATCTACCATTAAACATAATTACAGCTAATTTAGAAGGCTTACAACTAAAAATGCGTCTGATGCCATGAAATTAATCTAAACCTAACCATCACAGTAAAGCAGATTGAGATTATTAATGTAGTATTAGCTTCACAGAAACACAAATAAAGCCTATAACTCCCCCTACTGGTGATAGTATAGTATACTGGTTACCTTCATTCATTCATTCAATCATTTTGCTTAGGTTTAGTCTTATTTATCAGGGGTCACCATAGCGGAATGAACCCCCAACTATTCCAGCATATGTTTTACACAGCGGATACCCTTCCAGCCGCAACCCAGTACTGGGAAACACATAATACACACTCATACACTATGGCCGATTAAGTTCATCAAATTCCCCTGTAGGGCTTGTGCTTGGACTGTGGGGGAAACTGGAGCACCCCACACCAACATAGGGAGAACATGCAAACTCCACACAGAAATGCCAACTGACCTAGTTGAGACTCGAACCAGGGACCTTCTTGCTGTGAGGCGACAGCACTACCTACTGCGCCACCGCGTCGCTGGTTATACTCGCAGACTGTCAGCACACAACCGTGTTTAAACCGCTTTAAGTCAGAACACTGAATAACGAGACTCACTTGGCGAGCTTCATCTCGATCTGCTGGCGGATCTCCTGCCGCTCCTGATCGCTGCGCACAGGGAAGATGTTTCTGTCCTCCAGCTCCTGTTTACTGGGCCGGTTACGCAGCTTTACCGCCAGAAGCTCTTTTCTTATCCGCCGTGGAAGAGTTCCTGCAAATCAAAAACACATACATGTTTATATTAATATTTCCCAAATGCTGTTGAACAGATTCAGGAATTTCTCACAGTACTTCCTACAATATTTTTCCTTCTTGGGAAAGTCTTATTTGTTTTATTTCGGCTAGAATAACAGCAGTTTTTAAAGGGTCACGAAACACCAGAACACATGTGTTGAGTTGTATACAGTCGTATATGTGTCCCACACTGCTGAAAACACTATTAGGACACCTATATTTCACTAAAAAGTGTAAATTGGTTGTTTTTGCGTTATTTCAAGCAAATTCGTACTTCCGGTTTGAAACTAATTTTTGAAGCTGCGTCACGGTCATGACATAATAGCGTGTATTCCAGCGTGCAGACTGGACGTCTGTGCCAGAGTGTGTCTTATTACGTCTTACAGTGTGCTGCATTAATGCATGAGTAAGGCTTGGTTCAAACCAATCAGCGCGCTCTACTGTGCAACTTCATTAATATTCATTACTGTCACAGTGTTTAGACGGCAGAGACGCCACGTTGTGTTGGTAAAACAAGTGTGAAGTGTTGCTTTTATAGTTTGCTGCAGTGAAGTTTTGTTTTCATTTTCTCTCTGTGAGAGCTCAGCTGGAGTCACGTGTGGATTAACAGTGTACGCGACGCTCCACAACAATAACTTACGTGTCTAAGGAGGATTATTGTTTACCTGAGAGCTGTTCTCATCTGCAAACGCTGAGATCCGGATTCGCTTTAGTCTCCTCTTAATAAAGACGCGGCTCTAGCTGCTGGTGATTGTCCTGTCTCTACAGATTTGGTAAGTGAGCGTCCAGTGCTCTTTGTTTATTCAGTTTGTTCGTATCGAACTTATCGAAGTTAACTATTGCACCGAGTGTAAACATGTTAGCACCACAACCAAACTTTAACCTCGTGTAGGATTTTCACCGCATTTTGTGACTGGAATAACACACGCGGCTTTCTGACGCTACCTGCCGAGTGCATCTAAGTTTCCGTGAAATGCGGAGTTTTTTTTCTCTCATTCGCCGTGCGGTATCAAACATTGCATGAAAAATACACACTCAGAGCAGCTCCTCGAATCAAATATCTCGTTTGTTGCGAGGGACATGAATGAATTCTCTGAATGAAAGACAGTTAAAGTCCAACATTTAATCATTTGGCAAATAATTCGACTACAGATGTCCATGTAAACACAGTCCCGTGCCCAAATAGACACTCCCACACCGTGCCTCTTTTCTTCCTCCGACACTCCCCCCTAAACAGAGCTGGACACGCCCACTTTTCTGACTTTTTCCAAAGTAGAGGTGTGAAAACACCCTGCTGAAACGAGGGGGTTTCATGGCCCTTTAACCATTTTAAAGCCATTTTAGGGTCAATATTATTAACCCCTTTAAGCGATATTAGTTTGGGATTGTCTTTTTGATCTGTTTGTGTTGTGAGAATTTGCAAACATGTTTGCTGTCAAACCCATGAGGATATTTGCTTAGTTAGCTCTCTCGGCCACCGTCTCCAAGACTAGTATTGAGAAACACTGATCTAAAACAGCCGGAGACACCCACCAGAGATGACGGACTCGTTCCAGCTGTCCTGGTCGCTGTAGATCTCATCCAGACGCATGTTCTCCTTGTTTTCTTCAGCCTCTTTCTTGTTTTCCGCTTCTCCGCTCTGCTCATTCTCAGTGCTGGCCACGCGGGGCAGACGACTGTCCGAGCGCCGCTTCGGGGAACTGCGGATCTCCTTACTGTGAAAACTATATCAGACAAAGAAAAGCGCACACATTACCTGAAGAACAATAGGAGGATAATGCATATGACAGAGATTCACCACGTCAAATTTAAGACTTTCATTCATTCTCATTCGGCTTATTGACTTTATTCATCAGGGGTCACCACAGTGGAATGAACCGCCAACTATTCTAGCATATGTTTTACACAGTGGATGCCCTTCCAGCTGCAATCTAGTACTGGGAAACACCCATACACACTCATTCACTCACACACTCATACACTACGGACAATTAAGTTGATCAATTCCCCTATAGAGCATGTGTTTGGACTGTGGGAGAAACCGGAGTACCCGGAGGAAACCCACGCCAATGCAGGGAGAACATGCAAACTCCACACAGAAATACCATCTGCCCCAGCCAAGGCTCGAACCAGCGACCTTCTTGCTGTAAGGCGATAATGCTACCCACTGCGCCACCGTGTCAACCTTTTTAAGACCATTATAAATGAAATTTCAGACTTTCCCAGGGGAACACGTCTTCAGTCTGTGGAGTTTTTCTTCACTTGCCCCATTAAAATTAAAATTCAATCATTTATTCGCCACATGTTTTACATAACGTCTCAAAACAAGCAAACTAGTTTTATACCTGTCTTTTTAAAGGAAAAGTTATGCTAATAAATAATTCATTTATTTACTTGTCGGCTTAGTCCCTTTATTAATCCGGGGTCGCCACAGCAGAATGAACCGCCAACTTATCCAGCAAGTTTTTCCGCTGGGAAACATCCACACACACTCACACACAGCCTACCCAATTCACCTGTACTGCATGTGTTTGGACTGTGGGGGAAACCGGAGCACCCGGAGGAAACCCACGGGAAGGCAGGGAGAACATGCAAACTCCACACAGAAACGCCAACTGAACCGAGGTTCGAACCAGCAACCTTCTTGCTGTGAGGCGACAGCACTACCTACTGCGCCACTGCCTCGCCCGCTAATAAATAATATAAGAGTAAAAAATATATAATAAACTAAATGCACTTTATGCATAATTACACGTCTAAACAAACGTTACTGGAGGGATGTAAATGAACCATGTGGTAAATAATGAATACATTTAAATTTTGTTAAAGTGTTTGTTTTTTGAGGGATTGTTGGTCGTAGTGATTGGGTAGCTTTACATGAACAAAGGAAAATGTAGACCTGTTTAAAAGTATTTAAGACCTACAACACCATATTTTATTTCCCAGACATGGGTTGTGGCTGGAAGGGCATCCGCTGCGTAAAAACTTGCTGGATAAGTTGGCGGTTCATTCCACTGTGGCGACCCCGGAATAATAAAGGGACTAAGCCAACAAGAAAATAAACGAATGAATGAATGAACACCATATTTCAGTGAATTTAAGACATTTTAAGACCGTAGCACAAACAAGAAGGTCGCTGGTTTGAGCCCTGGCTGGCTCAGTTGGCATTTCTGCATGGAGTTTGCATGTTCTCCTCTTGTTGGCGTGGGTTTGGCATGCTCCAGTTTACCCCACAGTCCAAACAAATGCACTATAGGGGATTTGATCAACTATATTGGCCGTAGTGTATGAGTGTGTGCAAGAGTGTGTGGGTGTTTCCCAGTGTTAGGTTGCGGCTGGAAAGGCATCTGCAGTGTAAAATGTGTGCAGGATAAGTTGGTGGTTCATTCCGCTGTGGTGACCCCTGATTAATAAAGGGACTAAGCCGAAAATAAAATGAATGAATGAATAAGACCGTGCGGACACCCTGATTTGAACTCCCTGACTGCATCAGATTTCAAATACTGTCCCACCTGACGGTTAAATAAAAATTACCAGCATTTGGCAAGGTACAATGTTATTAAGTTAGTCCACTGAAGAAAAAATATGAAAATATGCAAAATTATTGCAAGTATTATCGTAAAATGTGCAAAACATATAAGCAAAATACCTATTATATAACCGAAATACTTCTCAGTACTGGGTTGCAGCTGGAAGGGCTTCGGAATAGTAGGCGGTTCATTCCGCTGTGGCGACCCCTGATATATAAGGGATTAAGTGTGTTTATTTTCCTCATTTAAAGAATAAAACATGTTTACAGACTGATATTTATTGTGATCCCATAACTCTGTGGTGGTAAGTAGTTTTGCAAAATATATAAACAGATGTCTCATTATAGGGGCGGCACGGTGGCTCAGTGGTTAGCACTGTCGCCTCACAGCAAGAAGGTCACTGGTTCGAATCCCGGCTTGGTTAGTTGGCATTTCTGTGTGAAGTTTGCATGTTCTCACCTGTGTTTCCCAGTACTGGGTTGCGGCTGGAAGTGCATCAGCAGTGTAAAACACATGCTGGAATAATTGGCGGTTCTTTCCGCTCTGGCGACCTCTGATGAATAAATGGACTAAGCCGGAGGAAATTGAATGAATGTTTTATTATAATGTTAACATATACTTTCTCTGTGAACTTATGCTTTAAGTTTTTACTGCAAATGTCACCCATAATGCTGCAATTGCTCCTATTATGACAGCTGTATATGCTGTATATGACTGGTGTTGTGGTCCAGGGTCACAGAGTGATTTGTGTCCTGTAGAGCGGAGTAAACGTAGTCAGAATCAGTGTGTCTGACCTGTCCTGCCGGTGTTTGGTGGCCAGCGCGCGGTGCAGCTCCTCTATGATGCAGCTAGGGGGCAGCTGAGGGTGCAGGAGCCCCAGATGAGGAGAGCCAGTCGGGGTGGAGATCCGGCCCCGCAGGGCGTCTTTAGGGAGGGTGAAGTTCCTGGGCAGGGTGGCTGGAGCGGGACGGCTCTGATGAGAGTGAGTTCCTGAAGAAGATCAAGACATCAGAAATATCATTAATGTTTCCATCAGAGACGCGAATCAGATTTACAGCTGAAGTCAGAAGTGTTAGCCCTCCTCTATATTTTCCCCAATTTATCCCTAATTAATTTTGACCTTAAAGTTGGTTTAAAAACATTAAGAACTGCTTTTATTCTAGCCGAAATAAAACAAATAAGACTTTCTCCAGAAGAAACAATATTATAGGAAATGCTGTGAAAAACTCCTGAACCTGTTCAACATCATTTGGGAAATATTTAAAAATTAATAAAAATTCACAGGAGGGCGATTAATTCTGACTTCAGCTGTACAGGAATCTCCAGTAGCTGAATGCTGACGCAGATCTGACGGGTTTGCATGTATGAGCCAAGCAGCACTCACGTGTGATGACCTGACACTGACCGTCCAGACTGCCCAGGCGTGTGAGCAGCTTCACAGGGAGTTTGGCTGGAGGAGTGTGCGTTTCTCTGGGCGCCGGCTCCTCGTGTTTCTCCTCAGGGCTCTCAGGTGCCTCCAAGGGCCCGACAGCATCCGCAGCGGAGCCGTCTTCATCCTCGCTGTGCCCGAGGTCTGCCTCTGTTTCCGTCATCTCCGCTGCATCTCGTACTGAAACACAGACAGAAACAAGGGGATCTGTAATCTCTGTCTCCCTCTTGTGGTGAATCAACAGATTTATTTAAATTTTATCTCAAGTGTCAAAAACAAGAGAACATGAGTATACATTTTATAGTGACACTTTACAATAAGGCTGTGTTAGTCAATGTTTATTAATGTATTTGCTAACATGAACAAACAATGAACAACACATTTATTACAGTATTTGTTCATGTTTAGGTATTCACCGTTAGAAAACACAGTTGTTCATTATTAACCCACGGTGTATTTACAAATGTTAACATGCATTAATTTAGACGTTAATAATGCTTCAGTAAATGTTGATCTATGATTAGAACTGCCGCTCACTGGATATTTCCTCTTTGTCGGAGCATTCTCTGCAAACCCTAGAGATGGTTGTGCGTGAAAATCCCAGTAGATCAGCAGTTTCTGAAATACTCAGAGCAGCCCGCACTAACAAACATGCCACTTTCAAAGTCACCTAAATCCCCTTTCTTCTCCATTCTGATGCTCGCTTTGAACAGCAGCAGATCGTCTTGACCATGTCTTCATGCCTAAATGCATTGAGCTGCTGCCATGTGATCGGCTGATTGGGGTGTTAGACAGGTGTACCTAATAAAGTGGCCTGTGAGTGTATACTTCCTCTGTTTTAATAAGCAAAAAAAATTGTAACTTTTAAATTAAGGGTAGTACGTTTTTACCAAAGTAATTTGCCAAATAATTCGGCAATTTAAAGAAAGTATTTTGAATGTAGCCAGTGTTAAAATCTCGTATTACTTCTAGTTGCATTACTTCTAATCATTACAAATGTAAGGCCCTTTTCCATTTATTTTAAAATGTGGAGTGAATAAATCACAGACTGAAATAGCTTTACTAGTTACTTGACGAAAGTAACTAGCATATCTCACATTATTGGTTATGTTCCCCTCACTGCTGACTATATGATCAGATGTAAAGCGATGATCAGAATATTAGTGCAACAGCGCCCTCTGCTGTATAACAGTACTGTTATTCATCCTCTGCATCAGCATGTTTTTGGGTGCTGACCCGGGTAAATCATCCCTTTAAGATGCTTTGTTAATTTGATGAAAGCGATGATCAGAATAATAGCATGCATGCTCTGCAACACTGCACTATACTCTGCTGAACACAAAAGAAGATAGTTGGAAGAATGCTGAAAACCTGAAACCATTGAAAAGTTTTCATCATTCTTCAAAATATCTTCCTTTGTGTTCAACAGACTAAACTAAGCCAAACAGGCGAGTAAATGAAGACGGAATCAAATTGGTTTGGGTGAACTATCCCTTTAAGATCGTGAATTTACAGATTTAAAGCGATGATCAGAATAATATCGAAACAGCGCCCTCTACTGTATAACAGTAATAATATTCATCCTCTGCATCAGCATGTGCTGACCTGTAGACAGATTGTCCTCATCAGATCCCAGATCCTCTGTGGTGGAGGCCAGCGGTGCCATGGGCTCATCCTCCGGCTCGTCCCCATCTGAGTCCTCCATTACTGGGTTTCCCGGCTCATCTGCGCTCCCTCCGCAGGCCACCGCAGAGTCTGAACACACAGAGAAACACAGAGGTCAGCACTCGCTCATAAAACTCTCACGCTGCTCCAGCAGGAGCATCGCAATGTCTCATTGCTCATTTATTTATTTCACAACAAGTGACAGCTTACATTAATCCAGTGTTTCCCAACCCTGTTCCCAGAGGCACACCAACAGTACATATTTTGGATGTCTTCCTTATCTGAAGCGCTCGGAGTCTCTTCTAATGTTCTGATGGGTTGATTCAGGTGTGTTTGATTAGGGCAGGGGTCACCAACCTTTATGAAACTAAGAGCTACTTCTTGGGTACCGATTAATGAGGAGGGCTACCAGTTTGATAAACACTTCTCAAATAACACATTTGCTCAATTTACTTTTAATTATACTGTATGTTTTTGGTAATAATTAATGATCTTCATCCATGTGAAGACACTGATCATGTTAATGATTCTCACAAAAGTTATCAACAATGATTTAACAGGGTGGGAAATACCCTTTATTTAATGTATCAATGTGCAACACTTTATTTTTATCTATCTCTGCAAATATTTACATTTTTAAATGATTACTTCTATATTAGATGATGCTTACTGGTAAGCAAGTGGTGCTCGCTGCAGAGCCATTTGAGGAGAGCTGAGCTCCAGCGAGGGGGAGCTGAAGCTTGAGCTCCACCTTTTTTGCACTTCTTCTACGAGTGATGTCACTGGGGGTAGGGTTAGGGGTGGGGTTGGTGTACGCATTAAAACAGCTTACAGGAGGAGGAGCGACAGCTCATGCTCCCCCTCGCTGGAGCTCAGCTCTCCTCAAATGGCTCTGCAGCGAGCACCCTCTCCTGGTAAGTGGAGCTATGGTAAGCTATGTTTAGAACAGGCCTGCAGGGAACACATGCAATCCGCGCGGGCTACCTGGTGCCCGCGGGCACAATGTTGGTGACCCCTGGATTAGGGAGAGGTTTAAAATGTGTGCTGTCGGTGTGACTCAGGAACAGAGATGGGAAGCACTGAATTAATCACACTCATGTACCCAAATTAGCCCAAAAATGATAAGTGCTTGTTTATAGAATAATTCCAGAGGTTTTAAAACTGTAGTTTTTGTCTTGCACCAACTTATACAGTCACTAAATTCTCATTGTCATAGGCCAAATGAACATATGAGAATGAAAATTAACACTTATTCATTCATTCATTCATTTTCCTTCGGCTATTCCACCATGTTTTACACAGCAGATGTCCTTCCAGCTGCAACCTAGTACTAGGAAACACCCATACACACTCATCCACACACACAATGTTCATTATCACAATATATTGAATTATTTAAAATCAGCATACAGCTGAAGTCAGAATTATTCGTCCTCCTGGGAATTTCTTCTTCAAATATTCCCCAAAGGATGTTGAACTGATTCAGGAATTTTTCACAGTATTTCCTATAATATTCTTTCTCCTGGAGAAAGTCTTATTTGTTTTATTTCTGCAAGAATAAAAGCAGTTGTTAATTTTTTTAAGCCATTTTAAGGTCAATATTATTATCCCCTTTAAGCTGTATTAGTTTTGGATTGTCTCCAGAACAAACCACAGTTATACAATGACTTGCCTAATTACCCTAACTTTACCCTAATTACCCTAGTTAAGCCTTTAAATGTCACTTTAAGCTGAATATTAGTGTCTTTAAGAATATCAAGTCTAATATTATATGCTGTCATCATGGCAAAGAGAAAATAAATCAGTTATTAGAGATGAGTTATTAAAGCTATCATGTGTAGAAATGTGCTGAAAACAAAATCTCCTCTCCGTTAAACAGAAACTGTGGGTAAATGTACAGGGGGGGCTAATGAGTCTGACTTCAGCTGTATGTTAATCCAGCAGTAGCTCTGCATGCGCGCTGCTGGTGAACAGTGTTGGCGCAGTGTACAGTGTGATGTGACCGTTTCTCACCCATGCCAGCCTCCGCCAGGCCTTTCCTAACAGGATCCTCGTGATTCTGCCTGCTGGACACTTTCCTCTCCAGCGCTGCGGATGCCATCAGATAATATAGACGTCAGAGGACACAAACACTGCAGTCCAATCACTAATAGAGCTGGAGACATGCTAATACTGTAAACATGCATTCATCTTCCTTCAGAGGTCACCACGGCGGAATGAACCGCCAACTATTCCAGCATATTTTAGCACTATCGTCTCACAGCAGGAAGGTCGCTGGTTCGAGTCTTAGCTGGGTTTCCTCCGGGTGCTCCAGTGTCCCCTACAGTCCAAACACATGCACTATGGGGGAACTGATGAACTAAATTGGCCGTAGTGTATGAGTGTGTGTGAATGTGAGTGTGTATGGATGTTTCCCAGTACTGGGTTGCAGCTGGAAGGGCATCTGCTGCATAAAACATTTGCTGGAATAGTTGTCGGTTCATTCCTCTGTGGCGACCCCTGATAAGCTGAGTGTGTGTGTGTGTGTGTGTTGGGGGGGGGGGGGGTAAACTGACCCGTAGAGCCCTGCCTGAGCTTCTCGTTTTTCTTTTTCCTCCACTTCCAGGGTTTGAAGATGCGCCCCAGGCTGGCCAGCTTACTGTTGCGGCGGATGGGCGGCGTTCGGACCCCGGACACCAGACATCCAGAATGAAGCGCTCTGTGCTGATCCATCACATCTACAGCAGCAAACACACACAGAGAGAACGAGAAACGTGTTAAAAATGAAAACACTACAGTGCACAGCTAGACGGATGATATTTATTATTATTATTATTATTATTATTTAAGATACTGATCAAGAGAAAGCAGTGCTAAAACAGAAGCCGTCAGCGGCGTCATACCGCCCCGTAGCATTCATTTTAAGGACGAGAAGTACCTCTGGCTACATAATTCACACTCTGCAGAAATGTAGACAGGGGTATGTATTAGGGGTGTCACGATTTCGATTTTTTCGATTTTTAATTGAAATCGTTTGAAATTTATGCTCAATTTCGATTATCGAATCAAAAAATAGAATCGTCGATGCTGCCACGCCCACATGTCACGTCAGCTTGGCTTGCCAAGCGGGAAAAAAACAGGCTTGTTGAAGTGCTTGTTAAACTGCAGAAGCAGGAGACCCGTCGACAGAGCTTAAACCCTCTCCTCTTTCAATGAAGTCGCCGGTGTTTAAGCATTTTGGATTTCCAGTGAGTTATGTTGACAACGTTCGTGTTGTCGACAACAAAAAACACAGTTTTGCAAGCTCTACTATGTACGTATTACGTACGGTTCGTCCGATAGACAACACCGGCATCATGATCCTCCGCCCGCCCCCGTTGCAAATCCGCTGGCGAAAAGTGCACACTCAGGCCCTGTTTACACTGTCTTTGTTTTTAAATGGCATTTTAGAACGACAACGATTTGACATCCACAGTGGCCTGTAGCATTTCTGAGCAGCCCTCCTTCCTCTCTACCTCTGAAAATGCACATCACGTGACCACACAGACACAGACGCACACACAGCCATGCGCTCGAGACAGCAGGTCCAGGCAGTCAGAGGACTGCTTCAATCTTTCACTCACTTGTACTCAGTCATTTTAGCGAACACCTCAGATACTGTTGGCTGGTTCCTGTTGGTTGTGCGTCTTTTTTACCGACGCCATTATAACGACACAGATCACTGCCTATTCACGAGTCCCGCAGAAAAAGTGATTGACAGGTGGTAATTATGTGTGTATCTTGCCTTTATTCATTTACTGTATGATTTGTTTATGGGTAAAACAAAGACCATGCAGGTCAGGTAGTTTAAACGGTAGGCTACAAATAATTAATTGGTCATTAATTAATTATTCATAATCGAAAATCGAATCGAGCCTTTAGAATCGAAAATGTAATCGAATCGAGGATTTGGAGGATCGTGACACCCTTAGTACACAATAAGCCTGTGTTGGACAAAACAGTTCACCGGAAGTGCTTATATAAATTAAAAGTCCTCATGCATATACTCTATTAAGGCTTTGCATGTGAACAGATTAAATGACTGCGCCACACAGCATTCTGGGCTGGGTTCACACCAGTATTTAGTGCTGTCCACTGGACGTCAGACCAGCTGAGCCGGATGTTCATAACAGCTGCTGAAGAGGCCTGTAGGAGACACTGATCCTCCATGGGGAGCGAATGGTGTCTGCAGTACAGCAGCAAAACCTCTGCCCAATCTCTGGATACATGGGTGAGCATTTACTGTGCCAACACGATTTGTTTACCAAGGTGGAACAGCATATGGGTCACCTCCCCTGAGGAAAAAACATGGCTTTGATTCTGAAGAAACACATGCACAACTGACCATCTTAAGGGGGAGCTATTATGCAAAAATCACTTTCATAAGTGGGCACAGTTGTGTGAATATATCCATCCTCTAATGGTAAAAATCAATTAATTCTATTGTTTATAATCGGACTTGATAAAGGAAACACTTTGATTGACATTCTCCCTTTGCACGTGTCATCAGAGGGGGAAAGCCCCGCCCACTAGTGAAGCACACACTGACACTGACAACATACAGACCTGACCACTAGAGCACTAGTCCTGTTTTAAATCAGCCGCTATGCTGATGCATAGGCATTTGTAGCTCCGCCTTCTTATTAAAAAGAGCTCAATCTCATTTGAATTTAAAGCGTCAGTCACCAAAAACGGCACAATTAGGATTTAAGCCTAAAAGAGTCTGGTTCAGATAGGTAGAAAACAATATCTGTGCGCTATTTTGCCCTAAAACTTCACACACACACACACAAACACACTCTAGAGATATCAGAGATGCATTGTACGTCTTGTAAAAAGAGGCATATAGATCACCTTTAACATGCTAAATCGTTAGTTCACCCAAAAAAAATGAAAACCGAGTCATCCTTTCATGTATTTTAAAGGGCCATGAAACCCCCTCGTTTCAGCAGGGTGTTTTCACACCTCTACTTTGGAAAAAGTCAGAAAAGTGGGCGTGTCCAGCTCTGTTTAGGGGGGAGTGTCTGAGGAAGAAAAGTGGGAGGGTGTGGGAGTGTCTATTTGGGCACGCGCTAAGTTTCAGAGTCAAAATACACACACACACACACACACACAGTAGAAAGTGATGTTGTTTAACCTACATGGACATCTGTAGTGGAATTATCTGCCAAATTATTAAATGGTGGACTTTAACTGCAGTTTGGCTCTTTCATTCAGGGAATTCATTCATGCCTCTCGCGACAAACAAGATATTTGATTCAAGGAGCTGCTCTGAGTGTGTATTTTTCATGCAATGTTTGATACCGCACGGCGAATGAGAGAAAAAAAACTCTGCATTTCCCGGAAACTTAGATGCACTCGGCAGGTAGCGTCAGAAAGCCGCGTGTGTTATTCCGGTCACTAAATGCGGTAAAGACCCTACACGAGGTTAAAGTTTGGTTGTGGTGCTAACATGTTTACACTCGGTGCAATAGTTAACTTAGTTCAATACGAACAAACTGAATAAACAAAGAGCACTGGTCAACACTTACCAAATCTGTAGAGACAGGACAATCACCAGCAGCTAGAGCCGCGTCTTTATTAAGAGGAGACTACAAGCGAATCCGGATCTCAGCGTTTGCAGATGAGAACAGCTCTCAGGTAAACAATAATCCTCCTTAGACACGTAAGTTATTGTTGTCGAGCGTCGCGTACACTGTTAATCCACACGTGACTCCAGCTGCGCTCTCACAGAGAGAAAATGAAAACAAAACTTCACAGCAGCAAACTATAAAAGCAACACTTCACGCTTGTTTTGCCAACACAACGTGGCGTCTCTGCCGTCTAAACACTGTGACAGTAATGAATATTAATGAAGTTGCACAATAGAGCGCGCTGATTGGTTTGAACCAAGCCTTACTCATGCATTAATGCAACACACTGTAAGACGTAATAAGACTTACTCTGGCACAGGCGTCCAGTCTGCACGCTGGAATACACGCTATTATGTCATGACCGTGACGCAGCTTCAAAAATTCGTTTCAAACCGGAAGTACGAGTTTGCTTGAAATAACGCAAAAACAACCAATTTACACTTTTTAGTGAAATATAGGTGTCCTAATAGTGTTTTTAGCAGTGTGGGACACATATACCACTGTATACAGCTTAACACATGTGTTCTGGTGTTTCGTGACCCTTTAATATAAGCATTGCACTTCGTCTGTCTGTAACTACTGACTGTGGTAAACGGCAGTCCTGAATCACCCTGGGAAATCACGTCAGCTCAGATTCACTCACACCAACTGCTGCTCGCTTCACTGACAGCTGATGAACTTCAGATTAACACACATCCATCTCGCAGACACACACAGACACTGATTCCACTGTGTTAAACCAAACACAGGACTGCATCTACTCTGAGTAAGGCCTCAATTACACACACACACACACACACAAGTACATCTCAATTCAGTCGATGTTTTCATCTCTAACATAACAAAAAGCTAGTAAATTTGCCCAGAGTGTATCGTTGATTAATTAAATTTTTTTAATGAAAGTATTTTTTCTAAATATGTGTCTAAATAAGATTTGTCAGCAAAACTTCTGCTAGCTGAAACAGAAAAAAGTTATGGCCAAACTGAGACTCAAAATCAGCCCAGAGTGGATGAAAACATCCCCAACAGCACATGAGGGTTAAGATGCTGATGACAGTCTTATGAAAAAGGCCTATAGCAGTGGTTCTCAAACTTTTTTCACCAAGTACCACCTCAGAAAAAATAGTCTTCCAAGTACCACCATAGTGACCAGTGTTAAAGTACAGTAGCGTAGTAGGCTTAATAAAGCATCTAGAGCTTCAATAACGAGGCAGATTAATTCTCTGATTCAAGTTTTATTCGTGGAGAAAATTAAAAGCACTGTCGTGTTTTTAGCGTTCTGTGTTTGTCTAAGATAATTAGTCAGCCAAAATAATATTTCATACAAAATATGTAGCTGATCGGTCTGTTATTGTCATGTGACTCGCATTCTAAAAAGCTGAGATGTTTTCAACTGCGTACGCCTGGAATAAGTGAACGCGTCGCACTGCTTGCGCCTTCATTATGAATAACAAACCTGTGCGATATGAGAACAGCCGCCATTATTTGCGATCTTCATCAGTTGACCTTTAGCGCAGACATGCTGGATTCACCTGACTTGTTGATAAATGGGTTGCGGATCCATTCGTTGGCAGTACTCATTTTGCTAGCCTGTGGGTTAAATTTTGGCGCTCAGGTGATCGAGATGTAACAAGAGAATACGGTCATTTTTCAATATAAAAAATTGTTCAGACTATGATAAATAAAATGGAAATAATTAATGATTACTTGTGCGGCACGGTACCAATTGATCGACAGACCGGTGCCGCAACTCTAGCACGTACATGTTCCGCAAGCGCCACGAGCCTCTTTTTCTGGTTCTGCGTCTATTTGATTGATTTTTAGCAGCTGATGATGCGATACACTAAAGTAAACATTCTAAGCACATCGATTTGATCATAGGCTGTAAAGAGCAGCCAATGCTGATTACATCTGTGTTATCGTACGCATCAAATGATTAAAACTGTGTTCATTTTTTTCTTTTGTTACTCAGAGATTCCTCCGCGTACCACTAGAAGTAAGCCCGCGTACCACTAGTGGTACACGTACCACAGTTTGAGAACCACTGGCCTATAGCTTTTGTCCTT